TACAAAATAGATGGATACAGATTGAGATGACTATACTCAACAATACCCTCTATCACTGCCGATTTTTTTTTATTTTTAACACTTTTTATAAAATAATTTTAAATCTAACACTGTTTTATTTTTTTCCAAAACTAACACTTTTGGTCGCGCCTATTGCCATGGCGTGGCAAAACACCTGTGCCGCGCCATGCATAGTGGCGCGGCGGGAGGATGACGTGGCAGGGTCTGCCACGCCACCCATCTTGGCACGGCGGTGACGCGCCAGCGCTGGTGGCGCGGTAAGGCCCAGTAAAAGCCCACGACGCCCCCACTGCGCCCGCCCTCACCCTCGACCCTAGCGCCGCCCGTCACCGCCTTACCACCACCGCCGCACGCACGCGCGCACCGCGCCTCGCCCCACCCTCCCAGTATTGCCCGCCCGCCCGAGGGGTGTCGTTGCCGTCCGACACCGATCGCCAGCACCGCCACACGTCACACACCACTAGCGCCGCTTTGCCGCCAAATATTGTCGCCTACGCCGGTGTTGAGGCGCCAATACTGCACCACTGCCTCACGTGCTCTGCTGCCGCCTCGCCGACCTTGCCCGAGCAATGAGGCCGCCAATAACCATCTCCTTCGGCTTGGGTGACCCCAAAACATCCCCGCTCATATCAAGGTAGCTCCCTCTCTCGATTTCTTGTTATTATGAATGTTATTTTAGTTAGGGTTAGTGATTTAGGATAGTTAGGGTTAGTGATTTAGTATAGTTAGGTTAGTGAATTTGTTTATTTAGGTAGGTAGTTTTTAGGGTTTAGGTTGTGTGTTGTAGTATAGTTAAGGATTAGTTAGGTAGTTAGGTTTTAGATTACTGTTAGTTAGGATTTTGGGTTTAGGTTACACTATGAGAGGATACGGCGAAGACATGTACGGAGGGGGAGACTTCAACAAGACCCATGCAGGAATCTTTGCTCCGTTTGCAAAGAACCTAGTCACAAGGCTAGCAGGCATAGAAGATGAGGGCAACATGTCCATACATAGAAGTTGCTTATTTTCCTAGTGAAGTTGTTTAATATGTCTATTAATGTTACTTTGAATATATACATGTGCTTTCATATTGTGTTCCTATTGCATAACAAGTAGTTCAAATTTTGCAATGCTACATAATGTTAATTTGAATATTGTTAATTTAAATACTCTAACCCTTTGTTTATCAATTTATAATAGGATGGCCCCTCCACGCAGCACCAGTTGTACCCCCTTCTTGAGGTGGAGTACGACGAGTCGCATCGAGCACACTTCTTGACTGACACCAATGCAGAGGTGCCCTTGCCTCCTTTGAGGCTCCGCACGCACACCAGGGCGCACCAGTGGGACGAGCGTTACGCGCCGTATATATGGCGTGCCGGCTTTCTCGAGCTTGTCCGTGTTGTCAACTACGGTCTTCCGCTCCTCGACCCAGCACTACTTACTGTAGCTGTAGATAGGTGCGAGTGCCTTCATTGTACGTAAATATTCTTATAACAAATTTGAGGCAACTAACAGTCGTTCTATTCTTATAACAGGTGAAGGCCTAAGACCCACAAGTTCCACCTACCTTGCGGCGAGATGACCTTGACCATGCAGGACGTGAAAGCTATCTTTGGCCTTCGGTTGGGGGGACTTCCAGTTACAGGTATAGTTGACAACGATCACTGGAGGGAGCTAGTGGCTCAGTTCACTGGCTTTCTTCCACCGGACGATGAGGTTTCCAAGAAAAATAAGTGAGCAATTCAAACCTATTTAATACTTGCATTGCTTTCCTGCAGCCATCGGGTCTCATTTTCTTTGGTGAATTTCAGGAAAAATTTCAGTGTTTCGTCGGCGTGGATCACAGAGCGCTTTGATTACTTGGACCCATAGGCTGATGAGGCTCAGATCGATAGATTCGCTAGAGTGTGGCTCTGGCACTTTCTTGGTGCTTTCCTATTTCCAGACACCTTGGGCAACACCATCAGCTGGATCTTTCTTGACATACTACGCCAGCCGTGGGACAACATAGCGGCGTATAGCTAGGGTAGCTCAGTCCTAGCATAGACGTATCGACAGCTATGCGTTGCCTACTGTCGCACCTCAGGGTATGCGAACCTTGGGGGTTGCTCCTACCTACTCCAGGTTTGGTGTTGGGAACGATGGCCCATTGGGAGGCCCCTTGTTACTGGTTTACCGGTAAGTACTTCGGTTCACTATATTCTTCGAGGCAGTTACATATGATGAAATTATTAATGGCTAATTCATTATCATGTTCAATGCAGCATTGGAACAGGCAGGATACACTCCCTATAGCTCTGTATATCTGGACGCAAGCAGAGTTAGTTAGAGGGAATGCGAGGCGCAAGTACAGGGAGTACACAGACTATCTCGACGTCCTAACACAGCACTAGGTTACGCTCTCTTTACTATCATACATGTGTCTTGTTCGATGTACGCTATATCACAACCTAACTCAATTACAAAATGTTTAGGTGCATTGGTGTCCTTGGATGCTCCGGAGCTCCAGCACTATCTGAGTCCTGTCACTAGGGATGAGTCAGACGAGTATCACTGCAACATCCCTTTTATTTTCTTCCACGTGGTCGAGATTCACTTGCCCATCAGGGTTTGCAGGCAATTTGAAAGAATGACAGGCTACCCACCACCGCTTTACTCCACCAACCAAGAATTGCACAGGTGCGTTATCGATTAATAACAAAGCTATAATTCAGAGGTGTGTATGGTACAACTAACAATCGTTTTGTTGCAGGTATGACCATAGGAAGAGGTACAAGACCAAGGATTGGCGCGTGACACACAACGTGTACATCCAGTTGTGGCAGAACAGGGACCGACAGCAGTCGATGCGGGTTCCCCATACGACCAGCACACCTTCGATGAGTACCTGCGGTGGCTTCACGTGTCTACGAGGGCACATATCAAGCCCCCGTACACTGAGGAGGCGATTGGTGAGGACGACGAGGAAGATGTGTACGACGTTGCCACTAGGGATGATACACAACTATAGAGAGCCCCGCTTCAAAGATACGTGGTAAGATACTCGAATGGTATCTATTTGGTATTAAGTATGTGTACTAAAACTATCCAACCGCGTTTCTATACCCAGACGACACAATTGTCAAGGTTGTCCAATGAAGCAGCGTTTCGGCTTCACGAGTCTAGAGGACAGGGGCCAGGCGTTCTCGAGGCTTTTGTGGAGGTAAACATAAACTTGTTCGTTCCAAAAATATTTCTTTAGTGTATATGCGTTTGGGAAATACACTAACTTTAACGCCTATTTATACAGAAGGTGAAGTAGAGCTGTAGGAAGCTAGCTTAGAAGTTGAGCTGCATGGACACTCCATGGGTGGAACCCGATTACCCAATGCGGTCGGGTGGCACGTCTTCTGACTCTTTGAGGACACCAGCCGGCTCTTCTCAGTCGGTGACAGATGCCGCTTCCGCAGTGCATACACCACCACATCATAGCGCTAGGAAGGACCCTGCAAACGAGGACGACGAGGACGACGATGACGACGAGGATGACGATGACCCTCGGGCTTCCGCATACAGTACCACCAGTGGGACAATTGGCAGCAGGACGAGATCGGCATGTCTCAACTAGGTGGTGCCCCGTTTGGTACCCAAGGAGGCTTACAGGTAGTAACAAAGGTAGTTTCTTTAAATATGTAGGCTCCATGAACTAACGATCGTAAAGATTATAAGTAATTGTGCATATCATATACTTGCAGGATACGAGCCGTACGCACCGGCAACGCAACCACACCGACATTGGCTACACTTCCAATGTGTTGCCTACAAATCCGAAGAGACAGAGGTGTCCGAGGGATCTTTACACTCCTATGACTTAGTTGGTTATGTCGAACAAATATTGTCGTCCGAAACTTGTAGACTCATGAACCAATGAAAATGTTATGTGGCAACTTATTAACTTGCGCACTGACTCCATTTATTTGCTTCATATTCGTTTCAATGCGTCGCGACAACACTGCCGACGAGATTAACTAGCAACTAGTTCGGGAATCGGCAATCCCGGCGTATCTCGCCGCCGGTGGCCGGCGTCTTGACGCCAATCCTTCCGAGCTTGGTCATCGCCGCCACGAAATCGCCGAAGAAGGCACCCTGGTTGGACGCGTAGTAGTCAACCGTGCTGCGCGACCTCATGTCGGAGTATAGCACCTGGTCGGAGCCCAGGAGGCCCTTGCTGACCTGCAGGTTCCGGTAGAAGGCATTATCGAAGCCCACCGGCGAGGGGTCGAGGAAGGCGAAGGCGTTGTGGTCGGAGCTGCAGGTGTCGTTCAGCTACGACGCGAATCCGGGGTCCATGGTCGTGTCGCTGCCGATCCTCACCGACAGCAGCTCCCGTTCAATTGCAATTGAGGCTGGTTTTCTGTCTGCGTCCAGGTCCTGCAGCGCCGTGGGCCTTGGCGCGTCAGTGCCGCGCCGTGGTCTATGGCGCGGCAAACCCTGCCACGTCATCGGTCAGCGCCCCGATCGTCGCCACGTCATCCTCCCGCCACGCCACCATGCATGGCACGGCACAAGCGTTTCGCCGTGCCATGGCAATAGGCGCGGCCAAAAGTGTTAGTTTTGAAAAAAAAATTAAACGGTGTTAAATTTAAAATTAGTTTAAAAAGTGTTAAAAAAAATCCCTCTACCAACCAAGCAAAGCTACACCCATCATTCTCAGCAGTCAGCCAGCACAAACAACTGAAAAAAAAAAGAACTTCTAGAAAGTCTTCTAGGAGAGGAGACCGCGGCCGAATCCTCTTCTTCGCAGTCCAGCTCCAGCCAATAAAACCCCTCTCACGCGCCTCAACCGTTCCGTTCTTCGCCGCGCTGCCGCGGACGCTTCCTTCCTCCTCCGCTCCGCCCGCGAATTTCAGGCCAGACCATCCTTCCCCGCCCGTCCGAACACGCGCCTGCCAAGAATTTCGCCTTCTCCGGCGCCGATCCCGCGCGTTCTTGCGCCCCCGGCAGGCCAAGGATAGATGAGGAACCTTCTCACGGTTTGCACCGCCGCCGTTCTCGCCTCTTGCTGTCTTTGCGTGTCACTTGCTTGCGGTTTTCCTAGTTCGCTTCTCGTGTCAAGAATGGGTTCATGGTTTGCTTTTGCTTTGAAGATCAAGGCCGTCAGGGTTTTCAGATGTTCTTGCTCCGATCCGGTTGTGGTTTTATCACTGGATCGGCCTTGATCGGTTCACGCGTGCCAACTTATTTATTTATCTTATTTTAGTTTGCTCGTGACCTAATTTGCCATGAGCATCGATAATCTTGTTCCTGCTGTTCTTGGCTTCTTGCTCGTCTTGCTATTTATGGAAATTTTGAGATGTTGCTAGCACTCCTATTTCTTTGAACTTTGGCAAGAGGCGACGATCTTCTCCTTCCTGCTGTTCTTACTCGTGTAGCCATTTAAGGAAAATCTGAAATTTTGGGACTTTCTGTGCTGGAATTAGAATATGTGTTTTTTTTTTTTTGATAAAAAAATTTGGTGCCAAGTGATGGTATTCTTCGTGCCTGCCTGGTGGAGCTATCCGTGGAAATTTCGAGTTGTTCAGACCATGCTCTGCTTGAACATCAGCATTTGGAGATTTTCTTCTCTCTCTTTTTTCAGCTTACAGGAAAGAAAGAGGTAGTTTGAGCTTTGGCATGATCACTTTTTTTAGTTGACGAAACATCATGGTTTGAAACTTTCAATCTTGATATGTAAATGGCAGCCTTAGTACTTTTCTGGTCCAACCTTTTGCAATCCACAGTCCTGCTTGGCTGCTTTGACTTTGTATATAAGATAAGAGGCGTCTATCTCTGTGATTTTGTGAACAAAAAGTAGACGTGTATTCTGCAAATCATTTTTTTTATCTCGATTTGGCAGGACTCGTTTGAGCTCGGCAAAAGGGAGCAGGCCCCAGGAAATGTCGACATCGAGCTTGGATTGCAGGGTGACCTGACTAGTTCTGCGCAGCCAGGTTTTGAGGGATTCTACGAACAGGTCCGTGTGTTTCTGTCTGGCAGATTTGATCTCTTCCTGAAAGAAAATCTGAAGTGGTCAACAACTTAATATGGTTGCAGCCTAACGCATTAAACTTCGTGCTACCACAAAATTCAGGTCAAGGAGATTGAAAACTTGCTCAACACATTGACAAAGTTACTGAAGGACCTTCAGGTGACTGCCAACATCAAATTGGAGCTGTTTTATGTTGCATTATTTAAGTCTACTGTTATATTCTGGCGCTACCATGGCATTACTTCAGAATGTGTCTGATATATTTATTCCAGATGTTTTTTGCTTGTTTGCTGACTGAACAATATTAGCCTACATCTAAAGACTGTCAATTTACGCAGAACTCAAATGAGGAGTCAAAAGTTGTGACGAAGGCATCTGCGATGAAAGGTACAATATGGGATATCGCCATATCGGTTTCTTTTCTGCATGTAGAACAGCATTGGCATTTTCCTCCTCAAATGTTATACAACTAATGATGATTTCTTTCCTACTTGTAGAGGTAAAAAAACGCATGGAGAAGGATGTCAATGAAGTGACAAAGATTGCACGGCTTGCAAAGTCAAAAGCAGAGCAACTGAACAAAGATGTTAGTTTTCTCCCTTCTTTACACTTGTTTCCTGCAAATATGTGCGAAGTAATTACATGGATAATAAGTTATGGCTGCTTATATATTTTACCATCTATCTTATGCTGTGCTGATTACCCTTCCCCAGAATGCTGCGAACAGAGAAAAGCCAGGATTTGGTAAGGGATCAGGTGTGGACCGGTCCCGGACAACAACCACTGTGTAAGGTCCCTGTTATCATTTCCTGCTTGCCCTTGTCCTCTTTATCTGTTTCTTGATATGATTGATTGCTTGGTGATCTTGTTGCAGTGCATTGACAAAGAAGTTGAGAGAACGTATACTGGAGTTTCAGGTAACTCCTTTCAACTTCAAATTCCAGTTCTTGTGCGTAATTTACATGATGAACATGTTTTCTGCATGCTTATTAACTAGAAATGGCGCTAAATATACAGCCAAAATGTGTGTTCAGTGATTTTATGACTGTAGAATGCTTAGTCATATAAAGCTTGAAAAGGAGCTGAAAAATGTCAGTTTATGCTGCTTAAAGATTATAAATGTCTGTTTGTAAATGGGCATGCAATTTTACTACGATGTATGTGCATGTCCCTAGACATTACGAGAAGAAATCCAGAAGGAATATCGTGATGTAGTGGAGCGTCGTGTTTTTACTGGTTTGCTTTCTCAAACTCTTAAACATACTTTTAATTGTTTGCAGTTCAGTTGCATTATAGCTTAATTATTTTATTCACTATTGCAAATATCCAACCGAACAGTAACGGGCGAACGTGCTGATGAAGAGGTAAGAGAATACAAATAGTCTTAACTTCAAGCTATCATTGTTAGCAAACCTGCATGTGCTGTGTTTCTAACACGGAATCAAAACTCAGACAATCGACAAGCTGATAGAAACAGGCGACGGCGAGCAAATCTTTCAGAGAGCAATTCAGGAGCAAGGGCGAGGAAGGGTACTAATTCTTTCAGCCTATATAACTGCAAGAATTTCAGCCTGGATGCTGACAAAGCTGGATGGTGAATTTCTCGCATTTGCAGGTACTGGACACACTGCAGGAGATCCAGGAGCGCCATGACACGGTGAAAGAGATTGAGAGGAAGCTTCTTGATCTGCAGCAGGTAATCAATGGTCAATCTCCCAAGATTCAGGTTTCTAGGACTCCACACTTGTTCCGCGTATTAAATTCTCCTTAATGCAGATCTTCCTCGACTTGGCTGTATTAGTTGAAGCCCATGGTGAGATGCTGGACAACATTGAGACACAGGTATGATGATTGATGCTTTGTCACTCAATTGTTGTTATTTTTCTTGATACCTGCAATCACATATTTCATTAAACATTAAAAGAAGGGAACTGGCCACAGAATTATTAGCACTGTATTTATTGAAAGATTCATTTTTTTTCTGACTTTTGATATCTATACTCAGGTCACAGGTGCAGTTGAACATATTCAGACTGGAACAAACCTTCTCCAGAAAGCAAAGAAGCTGCAGAAGAACTCGCGAAAATGGACTTGCATTGGCATAATCATCCTCTTGATAATCATCCTCATCGTCATCCTCTCCTTGAAACCATGGTCGTGGGGTAAATAAGCAGCAAACAAGAAGCATCGTTCCCATGTTGATTACCTTTAGTATTCTTGTTATAGCTGTGCATATGTCAGAAGGTGCGAGATAGTCCTGTATATCGTATTGGAAACTTTGTTTTCTTTTTTGCTTTGGAAGAGAAACTTTGGGTGTGAACTTTCAGGATTTGCTTGATTCAAATTTGATATATTGGGTGTGCAACTAAAGGTCTATACCTACTGGTTTCTTGGGAGATCGATAACACCGAGGCAGTAGTTTCTGAACAGGCTGAAGGACGGGTTCTTCAACTGGAGATGCATCTTCTCCCCAGTAAACATCAACAAACAGCAGAACCATTCAAGCAAACATGACTTTCACATAGAACCCTCGACCTTCGATTCGCTGCCGTTTGCTTAGTTTGCCCAAAGCTATTCCACGAACTTTGTTGCATTCAATCAAAATTCTTCAGAACTTCAGTGAATTATCACTCTCAATGCTCAAGAATATTCAATGGATTATTATTTGCAGATCAGTTGCATTATAGCCTTAACTATTTTACTCATTCTTGCAAACAAGAGGAAGCTCCTGGATCTGCAGCAGGTAATGAATGGCCAATCGCTCAACATTCAGGTTTCAAGGACTCCTCTTTTTATACCAGGTATAAAATGCTGCTAAATGTAGGCCATTCGCAACTTGGCTGTCTTGGTTGCAGTTCAAGGTGAGATGCTGGACAACATTGAGATGTGGTAGATAAGGAGCAAACAAGAAGCATCATTCCCATGTTATTATTGTTGTACCTGTGCATATACCAGAAGGTCCGAGAGCGTCATTGACATCGTTTTGGAAACTTTGGGATACTTTGGGTGTGAACTTTCAGATTTTGCTTGATACAAAATTGGTTATGATGGGTTCGCAACTCTTTCAGTTATGCTTCAATTGGATGTGCAACTCTTTCAATCATGCTCCATTCAAATACCGATGACACGCAGCTAGATCAGCAATAATTTTGAAGTCATCTGCATTTTGATTTGCCTTGATAGTATTTTGTCTACAAAAGAGTGTAATGTAAGAAAAATACCACGATTGCCCCAAAGAAAAGGTGTTTTACAGGATATAAGACGACACAACACCCAACATAAGCCAGGGCCATAATTGAAACATGAGGTTTGCCATTTGCCACTAAACCTAGTGGTTGCTTCGATGAGATCAGTTACTGTCTTGTTAAAAAAAAGGTGATCGTTTGCAAATGCAACCCTCGATTCGTTTTACATCATCGTACATTTCTATGAAGCTACCGGGAACAGGCTATCTCCAACTGGAGAGGCATCTTCTCCCCCCAATTAAACATCAACAGGCAGCAGAACCATTGAAGCGAACATGATTTTCACATACATTCTTGTATTTAAACAAAGATCTTCACAGCCTCAATGAAATGTCATTCCTCAATGTGCCGCCTCTTTCGGGACTTATATGGCTGTTCAGATTTCACCATGCCATCTTCATTCTTGAGTATTCTGTGTTCTTGTTTATTCTGCTCAATTTTGGTGCTTGTATCCCTTGATCTACTTTCATCACTGAAGATTTGAGCAGCACACTTATTAGCACAAAGCTTGAATAGAGAGGCTAAATTGGGTATAAGATATAGCAGTTTAATAGTAACATGAAAACATGTGTTTGTATATCCAGACCTTTTGAGTTCTGATGCATATTCAGTGTCATGTACTGACAACCAACGCATGCATCCAGTGTGAGGTGGGATTAATGATCCAGTAATATGACAATTCATTTCTGTATCCACCCTGTGATTGAATATCAGAAGAAACATAAATAATTTATTTTGATCACACAATGTGGAGCATCAGCAATCCATTTCAGCAACTGTGATGTACTTCACTTCTCATGTACAAATTGATAAGCTCAAGTTCATTTACAGTGCTGCTGTAACACAATCACTTGTTTTAGGTCATCGGACATGGTCAAACAGTACATAGGCACATAGCTGCATGGGCAACATACATAGATGGCACAACAAAAATTGAAAAAAAAAATGTAGAAGATTATAGGCATTTGACTTCTAAAAATGAAGTGTTTCAAATCAAAAAAAGAAAATATTGAGAAAACCGATGTTAGACTGACAAAAAAGGGAACAAGATCAGCCCATACCTTTTGACAGAAAACCTTATCATTGTTCCTCTTTTAATCACGTGCTTTTTATCTGTGCGGCTCGCAAATTTCCCTCCTTCACTTTTCTGTGCAAAAGTTAAAATATATTAAAAAAAAGTTATGCATGCATTTTCAAGAGACTGGTTAGCCTTGATGAAATTAACAATTACGCAGGCTTTTACAACAAAGATAAGTTTTGTAGTCACAAAAAACATACACCAGCCCATGAAGAACTAAAGTGCCCTCATTTCAGCAGTATAACTTGATATTCACAATGGTCTGAAGAACATCACAAAAATTTTGTTGTGCAAACACAAGTATAGGAAAGTTTTTTTATAAAAATTCAAGCTTCACTGGAGTTTCATGTTGAGGGGAATCTTGACTTTCGATACTTCTAAAAAATCACCTGTTAGCTCCAAATTATTTCCCCAAATGGTCAAACTTTTTTAGAAGAGAGCAAGGCCCCGTTTGGCATGCCTCCTATCAGCTCTGGCTCCTAGCTAGAGCCATGCCAAACGGGCCTAAAGCTGGTGCTAATATTGTCAAAACCTTCAAAGCTGCAATGTATTAAAAGATCAGAAACAAGTCATGGCTGTCCATCTACAATAAATAGGCAAACTTGAGGCATCATAGTTTAATACATTACTCCCTCCGTTCTGTTTTATGCGGCAGAAACTAGTTTCTGTTTCTGAGAATGGCCGTGGCTTAGCACCATAACATGCGCTCCTATTAAATGGTATGCAGCAGTTACCAAACATTTTTTCGCTTTTCCCACTCCATGCATGCGTGCATGCATAATTGATCTGTAATTCCATTGGCCTGCTTCTCTTCCCTTTGCTGCATGCAATTGATAACGGCTCCACTAAATATAGAAAACAAAGCTGGATTAAATTGTTCTTGGTATGTGGAATAATAGTGTTAGCGCCAGATAAAACGGAACAGAGGGAGTATTTTTAAAGAGTACATGCTTGTGAATTCTGATAACAAACAGTTCCATGCTTTGTTCCCACTTCCAAGGATATTTGTTTCACTGAATACTATTTATGAGACACAGAAAAGAGGACATTGATACATGAACACTAAATTACTGAAACTAGAGAAGCTTCATATCAAATATAAACTAATAGAAAAAGGTGGAGTGACTGGAGTCTCAAATCATCACAGCAAAATAACATTCTTTTTCTCAATATAACTTACCCTTTTGAATTTGAACTTTTCACGGATATCTTCAGACATAATTGCCACTGAGAAAACCCCTAAAACAATGGCATGGATTGACTCCTTTCCAAGCATTTCAACCGTCCCTTCTGAAATTAGCAAACATTTAAGCATCAGAGCTATGCATTTCACATCTGTACCAGGCCAAGTTATTATTTCATCCCACAAGATATGATGGCAGATCAGTCATTAGCAAAAGCACTGATAAAACTTTGTAGCAACAGGATAGAAAGTTTCAATATTGTAGTATCTCCAAGTACTAGTAACATGCTGATTTGCTGGCATGAGCTGATACTAAACGCAGTCAATCAGGTCTACTGCCTACATAAATACTACAACCAACGGTGCCCAAATTCACCAGATAAACCAACTTACCAAGGATCATGTCCGGTTGGGGAGAGAAGAGAAGCAGATTGGCACGCACTTGGACACCGAAATATGGCACCAAGCCATTCATGATTTTGCCTTTGACACAAATTTTGGGTTTACCACTTTCATCTTTGGGTTCACCACTTTCATCTTTGGGTTCACCACTTCCATCTTTGATTTTGCCTTTGACACAAGATTTGGGTTCACCACTTTCATCTTTGGGTTCACCATTTTCATCTTTCTTGGGTTTGCCCTCTTTGTCATTGCCAAGATGGAATGCAACTTCATGCGTCAGCAACACGCCATCAAAACGGTTGTCATACCTGATATGAATCAGCACCATACATATTTGCTCAAACAATAATCAAACTAGCTACAGAAAGCTTTGCGGCAGCTCGAAAGTGGCAAGAAATTTTGCTCAAACAACAGTCAAACTAACTTGCTACAGAAAGCTTGCCGAAAGTGGCAATAAGAATGTGACGAAAAACAAGGGCCCTACAGCTCATGCATAATCTCTCCGGGGACTCGACGCCTATCAATTTGCTCGGAACTCAAGCCTTATTAGCAGCTAAAAAGCGACGCTACCCACCCCCACAGCCACAATCACCACACATTTGGCGCTTTTCTCCTGTGACAAAATCGCCATCGGTTAAATTTGGCCGGTTACGAGCGATTCGAATCCTAATGCGTAAGAAAGCGGTAGGTCAAGGAACACTAGCTTCGCGAGACGCATAGGGAGGAGATGGACCGGAGAGAGAGGGAAGGATAGCGGACGCACGTGAAGAGGAGCGCGCTGAGCTGGCGGTTGACGGCGTGCCGGACGCGCTTGGTGTTGGAGGGGTGCACGTACACCGTGAGCTCCGCCTCCGCGGTCCGGAGCGCCTCCATTGCTCGGCGACGGCTGCCAGCGAGCTTGACTCAGAGGCGAAGGCGGACACGACAGGGCGCGCGGATCCCGCCGGCTTGGACCCGCGGAGAGCCGCTCGGTGTTGGGGGAGGCGGCGGCTAGCGTCCCGCTCGCGGGGAGGCTAGGGCGGCGGCGAAGTGGAGAAGACTGGGGGCGGGGAAGCTAGGGCGGCGAAAGGAGGCCAGGGGTTTTCGGACCCCAACGGTTTCATCAATACGGCCCATAAAATCGATTCTAACGGGCCCTCTAACGACCCATGAAACTCATTACCTGGATGTGCATCATATTAACTGTGCTTCTGTATCCAAAAAAATAAAAAATAAAATTAACCATTCGGCATAAGTTCTTTCCTAAAAAAATCGGCATAGGGTATAGGTGAAATCTTTAATCAGCCATATGTTTTATATAGGTGATATTGTTGTAAGTGTCTAACCTTCTCATGTATAGTACCGGTATGAATTGGTAATGTACTCTGGTCTTTTCTTTTCGTCTCTATAATACAATGATACGCATCGAGAAAAAAAAAATATTTAATCAGCACACGTGCGTCACAACTCGTGCCAATGCTTGCGTGTCGATGCGTGATTGAACAGAAGGTGGGTAGTGTGGATGGAACAACAGAGTGGACTGAGGTTATTTTGATTTGCTTATATGATAAGCTATCTGTAATCTTGGCTTCGGAAAAAGCTATATGTAATGTTATGTCGCTACATAAGCTGTAATATAATGTATTCTAAAAATTTTAAGACAACTTAAAAGAATACTCAAATAATTTATACTCATATATTAAACCCAAATAAGAAGTTGCTCCTTAAATTATATTTTTTTAACAAACTTTGCTAAATCTGTGCATGAGCACCATATAAAATGTATTATATTTCAATAAAGAATTTAGAAGTCATAATTCATTATATTTCAGGACTAATGGACTAGAAGTAGAAGACTTGATTTTTTACCTTTCTTATAATAATTATATACAACGGAGACTGTCTGAGAAGTCTGAGTTGCTGTAGTCGGCCACGATCATCGACTGTGTCTGAGTAGCAGTAAGTGGGAGAGGCTCAGACACGCCGATAATCCTCGGATCCACACCCTGAACTGCTGGAGAGGAGAAGTCGAGTGTCGTGGGGTGGATCGGAGACACCTGAGGAAAGCTCTGACCCTAAGGTGCGCTATACTATATAGCTGGGGCCAAAGAAACCTGCTAAATTGGTGCAGGAGCTGCTATTAGGACTGGAGGCGGTGGAGGAGAGATACCGGTCTGCTGCAGAATGTGCTCGAAGTAGTGAAAGTGGCGGGCCTCACTAGCAAGCATCCGGTCTTGGAAAGAATCCTGCCGAGCCTGGATGTTCTCAAACAAGTTAAGCATCTGCTGGCCTAGCTTGGCCTGCTCGGTACGGGCCTCTGCCTCACATCGCCTGCTCGGCTGCTAAACGTTGTATCTCGGTGGCCTGTCTCTGCTGCTCAGTGATCATCTGCTGAAGTAAAGCTACCAGGGTAGGGTCTGTCGCTGGAGGAACTGGTGGAGCAAAGCAGAAACCACTAGCTTCGTGGTCATGGGGTCGAGGTGAAATAGGCCGAGGCTGTGGCCCAAAACCTGGTAGCTAGTCGTCGTCATCGTCATCATCAAAATCATCATCATACTACTGATCAGTGTCTCTAACTGACTCGTCCTGAGGGTCCTCCATCCCTAGCAGCTCAACAGGCTCAAGCTCTCTGTGTCTCTCGTCTATCCCAAGGGCTACTGGCATGTATGTCCTGAAGGCTCTGGCATGAGTGTCACGAGTCATAACATACCGCGGATGGTGAATCAGCCTCTCAAAGATGAGACAAGTAGTGAGCGTAGGGAAGCTGAAGACGAGCTCTGCATCCATCCATCACTGTGTCCTCAATCTCACAGAGCAGAAAGTCCACGACATCAAACACTGTGTGAGACACAAGAGCGCAAAGTAGCCACTGCTGTAGGTGGGTTAGGGCCACTCTGAAACCAACCCAAGGAAGTAGTGTCCACCTTATAGCTGCCTCAAGCACCTGAGCCACTCGTGTCATGTCCCGCGGACTCCGTCGGGACCCCTCGTCGAACGGCGGACGGAAGATGGCCGCTACGTGGGCTGGTGGAGGCTGTGTCCCGCCGTGAGGGTGTCTAGGAGGGTCTGCTGAACCATAGCACATATTGTGCAGTCTGACTGGTGTCTTTGGAAACCCGTACAGCTAACGAATCTCACTAGTGAAGATCCTGTGGGTCTCGCCCTCAAACCTGAACTGAATGAACTCGTGGCTTGGGTCAACCCAAACTGTGGCCTAGAACACTCTGGCCCACTCATCCATGTATAATCCTGATCTGCACATCAGCTCCTCCAGTCTGGGCAAGTAGGTGATCCACTGTGAAATCTCATGAGTGCCTGCTGCTCTCCTCCGATACGTCAAGTCCAAAACTCTGTGGGGTCTCAAACCAACTCACTCAAGCACCTGTGCTCTATAGAATGACTCCTGAATAGTTGTGCTGAACGGCACTGAAGCAGTCTCCTCAGTCTCTGCAGGTAGCCACTCCTCAAGCGGGACGTTCCAGAAACGACGGACACGCCCGACTATGGCTGTACGACGCTCAATCAGGCGAGGGTCGTCCTGAACCTGCTCAAGACCCTGCCCGTCACGCTCTCTGAAGCGTTCGTCTAGGTGGCACTAGAGGCAAGTCCTCCTCGGGGTCCTCTGGCTGCTCCTGCTGACGCTGACTCGGCGTCGGGTGCACAGTGGTGCGTGCATGAGACGACCGACGAGGCTAAGGCGTCTCTGTCTGCTAGGGCTCTGACTGCTGAGTCTCTGTAGCTGTAGGACCAATCCTCAAAGTACCACTCCTTCCACCTCTCACACCTCTGTCGTAAGCTGCTGCTGTAGCTAGAGCCTGCTCGACCTCTCGGTGCTGCCTCTTCCGCTTCTTGGTTTGCTCAATCACCTTCGCTTGTCCCTCGGCGGATGGCATCCTGCTGCAACCCCCACAAGAGGATACCAGACTGAGACAAGCACTGACACTGAGACAAGCACTGACACAAAAATCAACTGCCAAGAATCAGCTGCCAGAGAATCACTGCCAAGCAATAGAACTCCCCCTGACTCAAGTCATCCTGCCCAATTGTCATTTAAGAAGCTTGGCCTCCGTTCCGTACTCGCGGGCTTGGCCCCGAGTTCAACTGTCACTGCCCACTGACCAAAATGCCTCACACACTGACACACTGCATGATGCAATAGGTGGAATATATATAAGCAATTTAATTTCTAGAGATGAGAATTTCCTATGTGAAGCAAAGCAATTTTAGATGAGAAAGTGAAATGAGGGGCTTTGCTACCTGACAATAGCAACGATCCGACCACCAAGCAGTAGGAAAGGAGGTCACAGGGCCGCACACGTCAACTGCCGAAGGATGTGACACAAAAGAGTAAGCACACAGCAAGGAAAACTGATTGCGGCAATTCGTCGAGCACGTGGCGGGCAGGAAAGGTGCTCACCAAGAGGAAACGGCTGCCGGCCAAGATATACGCCTGATGGCGAGCACATAGCACAAAACCACACCACATGATCGCCGGTGAAGATGGGGAAGCGAGCTCAGGAGAGGTCCAAGGTGATGACGTCGAGCTCGGCCTCCAGGGGACGAAGAGGTGGGCCGTGGCCCTCGGGCATGGCGCGCGCCCGAGAGATGGCGAGGGTGCGAGCGCACGGCGCTGCTTGGGCGAGACGAGGCCGCAGAGGCAAGGAGGAAGCACGACAGCAGGAGATGGCGAGCACGCGGCGGCGACAAAACGGGGGTGCGTGCGTGCGCGGCCGCGACGAGGAAAGGGCGCGGGCGAGCGCTGGTGCGCAGGAGGAGGCATGGCGGCCAGGGAGGAGGAGCGTGGTGGCTTGGGCGTGGAGCGGGCGCGACGGCGTCATACGGTTGCGATGCGGGTGCGGCGATTTGGGTGGAGTCGGGCGCGGGCGGAGGAGAAAGGAAAGAGCAGCTGACTGCACGGGCCCATGTGACAGATAAAATTTACTGCGCTCTCAAAATGGTCACCGGACAAGCTCTGTTGGAGGGGCAGTGACCGTGACGGTGACAGAGACGGTGCACCACCGTAGCCTATCCGCTGTACACCGGTAGAGACGGTGACCAAGGGAATTTTTCACTATTTTTACTGGCACCACCCTGTGAACAGTTACTGTCCGGTGGCCTGTCGGGTGCCCTCCGGTTTTCAGATTTGAAATTGGTCTTCGCCGAACCTGCACCCAACCATGTCACCTCGAGAAGAAGCAAGTAAAGGGGTGTTTGGTTGCCCTCCCAAAATTTTAGCCGCTGTTCCATTAGATGTTTGACACACATGTATGGAGTATTAAATATAGACTAATTATGAAACTAATTACATAGTTTACGACTAATTTGCGAGACGAATCTTTTGAGCCTAATTAGTTCATGATTTGATAATATTTTGCTACAGTAAATATGTGCTAATGACGGATTAATTAGGCTTAAAAAATTTGTCTCGTGGAGTACTGACGAATTATGTAATTTGTTTTTTTTTATTAGTATCCGAACACCCCATGCAACATCTTTCACGACACACCTCCTAAATTTTAGTAGCTGGATCCAAACACCCCCTAAACACCAGTTGGCACATGTACAAGTCATCCTCACTCAAGCTCTCATTTTCAAGATAATTTTGTCATAGACTTAATTAATTTTTAAGAAAATAGGTAATAAAAGAGCAGGGAGACTTCATGTGGCCACCACATAGGGGTCATAACTGAAACGATCCCGATTTTTTCGAAAGGAAATCCATAGATTTGAAGTGTAACGTGATAGTCCTCAGTGATCATCCCATCACATTATCAAATAACAGTCGATATCATAATCATACATCGAATACCTGTCTCAAGATAGTACAAATAGCAAGGTTTACTCATTATTACATCTCCACTTGCCGAAATCACTCAGAGCATGCAGCATCTAGA